ATTTATCCATGATCCGAGGATCGTTAGTGACGTATATCTCCTAGATTTATCCATGATTCGAGGGTTGTTAGTGATGTATTTCTCCTAGATTTATCCATGATTCGAGGGCTGTTACTGACGTATTTCTCGAACTAAGATGATTTAATTTGATCTCTATATGAATAATCCATTAATTTGTGTAGTATTTGAAATCTTGATCTTTTTATGTAATTTTTGAGATGTCTTTTAAGAGAATTTAGTACCATTTATATAGGCATAATTTAGGGTTTAGTGTTGAGTAGTCTCCAAATGAACATAATTTGTAAAGTCTCAACTCAAATTCAATGCATCTAGTAAAATTTCACAAAATTTTAATATCTAAAATATCACGATCTATAATTTTACCTTAATAATAAAATATACGAATAGATATAAGAAAGTAAAACTTCTAACACAAATATAATTATTTTAATTGATCGATCGATTAAATATATACCTTTTTCCGAATCGAAATGTTAGGTGTTGTTTCCTTCGATGAAAGGAAAGGGCAAGTGGACTAATTTATTTTTATCGTACAAAGAAAAAAGAACAATAATGTTTTTAATAATGTTAAGACATTTTCTTGTTTCTTCTTCTATTTTAATTTAATTAGTCAGCAGCATCTCGACACCGTTCATGGTGCCCCTCCCTTTATTTATTTTTACTTTTTTGGGCCCACATAGTTCAATTATGACACATCACTGGACCCCACATTATATAAAATATTTTAATGTTGACTATGGTAAAGTTTATAAGTTTCTGAATTTAACTATGAAATATATTTAGGTGTATGAGTAATTTTGTGTATAGTATAACTCTTAACTGTAAAATGTTAACACAAGTATAAAACTTATATATTTAGGTGTCTGAGTAATTTTGTGTATAGTATAACTCTTAACCGTAAAATGTTACCACAAGTATAAAACTTATTGCATCGGTGTTTATATTAAATTAATATGATTTAATAAAATAAAATATATTTTAATCAATTAAAATTGATTAAAATATATATAAATTTATACATATGACATGCATATATTGAGTTAAAGCATATATTCAATACGAATAAACTTTATCCTAATTTTGATAAAATTATAATTGTGCTTTATTCCGACATTAAGACACCATAGATTTAAGAATTGAAAGTTATATTCTTTTAAATTTGATGAAATAAAACTATGACTATAATTTAACGTTGTATCCTTTAGTAATGGTAATGATAAGTTTTTCTTAGAATGATTACTTACAAATATATAAAAATAAATACTGTTGTTACAAATAAGAAATTGTTATAAATATAATTAAAAAAATTGATTCCAACAGAAACATGTTTTTTTATAAAGAATTATGTTATTGTATAGAGTTGTTATGATTTAAATTTTAAGATAAATACTTACTCGCATTATCTATTTATAATTAATTTTTTTATTTTAATTTTATATTACATGCTTACCTAGTAACATAATATAATTTGTTGTAAAAATATTATATATATTCTTCTAATTATTTTTTTAAGATTGAACTGGGGTGTTATTCTGATTTTTATTACAATATTGACTTTTTGACTTTTTTCTTTTAGTATCAAAAACTTATGGAGGGCATAGAAACAACATGTCAATCTTCTTTAAAAAGAAAATAAATAGAAATATGCCATGAAAATATCCAAAGATCCATCCTTTTCCTAAAACACTTTTTTTACAAATTTGAAAGAAAAAAAAAACGATTTAATATTATTTTCTAAATTAAAAAGAGAAGAACGTGGGTAAAAAGGAACCCTTTGAAAAAAGAGTGGTGCAAATTCGTTTTTGTAAAAATGTAGATAATCGATCCATGCAGAATCTTGGAAAAGAATAAATCATAAAAAAAAAAGTTGAATTATTTTGAATTGATTGTAATTTTTTTTATTTATATAAGAAAAATAAAATTGAGATGATTTAAATATGTGAAAGAATGTGTGTGATGTAAGGTGTGAGAAGACGTTATTGTAATAAGATTTAGTGAAAGGTAGAGATAAATCGAACAAAGAACACAGGAAAGTCAAAAGGCAAGACTTTGATCCTAAAATTTGAAAGTTTGGAGGCTGAGTATTTAGATATAAAGTTGGTTAATAGCCTAATTGTGTTTTATGTGCGAGAGATAGAGTGATATTTCGTATAGTCAAATAGTTTCTTATTTATTCCTCGTGTATTACTACATATCTAACTATTTTAATTTATTGAGTTATTCGTCAAATTTTCATTTATTCAATGATCAGAATTAAATGAGAATATATAATCGGACATATAATTAAAATTTGTTTATTTACATTAAACTTTTGAGGGTGACCACGTAAGAAAGTGGGAGAAGACGTTATTGTAATAAAATCTAATGAAAGGTGGAGGTAGGCCGAAAAAAGAGATTGATTATTAAGGTAGAAGACTAATTAATAGTCGGGTCAAATTTTATGTGCGACTGATAAAGTGATATTTAGTATATCATATAGTCTATTATTCTTTTGTGAGTATTACTGCATGTTGTCTCATTTATTTTGTACTTAGATATATTATTGAGTTATTCGTCAAAATTTCATTTATTCATTGACCAAAATTAAATGGGAATATAATATATAGATTGGATGTAGAATAAAAATTCTTTTATTTGCATCAAGCTTTCAACAAGCTCATTCAAGACTTACTAGAACTATTATCCAACAGAAAAATAAGAGTTTTAATTTCGTCTCATAGAAATATGAATATGATGTTATTCTTGTAATTCTGTATTGAAAAATATCTGTTTTTTGAATCAAAAATCTATTAAAAACCATCTCGCAAAGATCACTTATAAAATTACGTTAAATATATTATTAAAATATAGACCATCCCTTCAATTTTATTCTTTTATGCCCTTCACATATGTACCACCAAATGTTGGCACATTTTCAGTATTCCTTTCCTTCCCTGGCCATACCATACCCATACTTTAAGCAAAATTATTAAACATCTTTTTAGCCAATTCTTTTGCCCTTCATTTTGAAACAATATTAATATAGTCAAACTCTTCTATAATAATGATATTTATTCCAAATATTTTTTTCGATTGTTATAGTAAAATATTATTATATAAAATGAAAATTTAGTTCCAAAACTTTTATATAAAATATTTATATTAATTATTATTTCTTAACAGACATATACAATTCAAAATCGATAAGTAAAAGTACATACTAAATTTATAACCATGAAATCTTTAATTAAAGTCTATAAAGTCATTACTAGAAAAACTGAATTTAAAAATGGCTAAATTTTATAGCTAAATAACAAAATTCATCCCTAATTTTATTTAGCTGACATTTTTGTTAGTCACAAGCAAAATAGCGATAAATTAGCAATAACATCCACAGTTTAATTTTTTGGTGTTCTTTAGAAGTGAAAAGTCATTTTTTAAAAATTATTTTATATGTTAAGTTAAATTAAAGCATATTTAAACGAAAGAGACTATTTTGATTAAAAACGTTTAATTAAGGAAGAAGGTTTGGTCATGAAAGGAGTGGGAAACAGCTAAGAATATATTCTGTGTTTTTAGTGTATATAAATAATACAAATAATACTGTGGGCATTATTTTTAAAAAAAATTTAATTTAATTTTTTTAAATGTTGTCTATTCTCTTCTTTTGTAAAAAAAAAAAAAAACCTTTGATTTGCCTTTTTTCCAAATCTAGGATGATAATTGGACAGCTTCCTTTTATGCCTTTTTACTGTAATACTATATACTAATATTTTATATTCGATTTCAAATAAGAATATGCCTTCTTAAGATTCCATGCTAAAACAATGCACGTGTTTTTCTACCTATCACTTTTGTGAATGTAGCGATAAAAGTCGAAATTTTTACTAAAGAAATAATATAAAAAGTTAAAAGAATATATTGAATTTATATATAATATAATTTGTTGATAATAAACGAGATGCATATGAGCTTAAGTGGTACATTATTTTTATTTAATAAAATTTTCATTCTTATTTATATATGACGTTTCAGCTAATTTGAATTTACGTCATGTAAAATTTATTCAAGAGAGATATGTTCGATAACAAGATATTTTTCTTCTGACTATGTGGCAAACTTTGACAATAAATGAATTGCATAGTTTGATTCAAAATTAGTTTGTATAGGTCTGAGTTCACCAGATCTTCTAAAACAATTATTTAATGCATATTTAATTAACTAATATTATCAACAAATCTGTGTTTGTACTGTATTACTATTACTTGTTTGACAAATGACTTATTTTTTGGGACTATCGATTTATCTTTAATTTTTTAAATTTGGGGTAGGGGGATTATATTTGAGATTTATTATCGATTTGACTAATATACATTTATGGGAACTATCTTGATCAACAACCAGAACAAAATAATAATATTGAATCAGATTATATTTTTATCTTGATTGATATAAAAGCATGTTGGTAAACAAAATTTACATCAATCAACTATTAGAATAAAATAATAATATCGTATCAGACCGCCCTTTGATTTAATTGATACTAAGTATACAACTATTGTCATAGTGAGTGCAATTGAATTTTGCAAAGTATATCTATATATGTCCATCCATGGTGGGGGTAGTTATTATGCTTATATTAATTATTTCAATCTACAACTATATATTATATATTTTATTTTTTAATTATATAGGAAAAAATGACTTTTGGGTTATGTCTAAAGGCATATTATATTGGGAAAAACAAACATGTTTTTTTAATGGATCAAAAAGACTTAAAAAGTATTGGGGTTCTGAAATCTTCTTTTAACTCTAAAGTCTAAACCATGATTTCCATCTTTGACAAATGTGCACATTCAATGGATGTAAAAGATCCCTAGCAATTAAATGATATATTGCATATAATATTCCCTATCAATTTAACATATATACACAATATAAGGTTAGATATTACTCTATTTTTTTTAAGTTACTATAAGGTTCAATATGAAGAATACTTGTAGCAAAAGATGAATCTATAACGTAATTATGAATCCAATTATTATCGACCAACTCATAAATTTTAAATTCCGAATCCAACTATGTAACATAAATTACTACTAATGTATATGAAAAAAGTACAATTTTGCTAGAAAAAAACAAAAAAAATGAAATAATGGTTGTTTTAACTCACTATCTCTATTACTGTTACTGCTGCAAATACTAGGAAGAGAGCACCACCTATGTAGGCAATAACCTGAAAATAAGAGATTTTGTTCACTTATAAAATGTGCAAATAAACATCAAAAGAAACTTTAAGTGCATTTGATACGACAGAAGTCATTTCCGAGAAAAAAAAATTCTCCATAAGAAAATCATTTTCTCGTATTTTGTTACCGACCCTCAAAAGAGGAACATTAACTAACAACTTCCCTGACTTATGAGCGGAAGTCATTTTCCTTTTTAGAGCGATGATAAATAGTATAAACGCGACATGACAGGTTGCTAAAAGGAAGGCATTCTTCATGTTTAACAAGATATGAACTAGTCCAAAGTCTTGACAAAGCATTATTTGAGTTTTCCAGATGACTTCTTCAGTCAACTAGAAAAAAATTAACTAATGAAGGTAGGTAAAAGGATGATTAAAAAATACAGTTTCTGTTTTATTCATTATGTAGTTTAGTATTCCATAAGCAACTCATTATAATATATTATATGAACTCTGTTGAGTCTAAACAGAGGTATAAGAGTAGTCTTAGGTACGGAGAAGGGTGAAAAATGCCCCTAAACTATTATAAATAGAACAAAAGTATCGTCTGTTTGGTTTTTGGTCCAAGAACACCCCTGAAGTAGTAGAAATGGGATAAAAATGCCCTCGTTGGTAGCAAACCTGCCCAATTATGCCCATATGAGCCATATCCTAATAACGGGCATAATTGGACCAATTAGCGAATGACAAGGGTATTTTTGTCATGTTTCTAATAGTTCAAGGGCATTTTTGGACCCAAACCAAATGAAGGGTACTTTATTCTACTTCTAATAGCTCAAGAGCATTTTTGACCCTTTTCCGTTCCAACAACTTGAAAGAAATGAAGAGATGTTATGCCAGTGTGTACTTTACTGCTAAAAAGTATGAACTTTTTCTACTTAGAGATTAAAAAAAAGAACATTTTCTTGTCATAGTGGTTCCGTAGAAGAAAACTACACGATAAATTTGTTTCGAGCAGAAGATTCTGATGATCATATAAATGTCTGCCTCTTTAGTTATTCAGATAGAGTAATCTTACCTTCTCAGACAAGAATGTCCCCAGTAAAGAACCTCCAAGAACAGCCAACTGCAAAGAAAATTTCACTACCAATCAAATTTTTATGCGTATTGGACGCCAACACAGAAAGCAAGAAAAAGAACTAATGCACTGATATATCTATGTCGTCATGGTTTATATAAACCACACATGTTATTCTTACGTCTATAAAAAAGTAGAACTTTGTAATGTACTGAAGGTTTCAAGTTAAAGGCCTTTCTTTTAAAAACTATTTTGCATTTCTTGATGAAATTTTCCTTCTAGTTGCTAATATTTATAAAAGAAGTCGCGTTGCAGATTGTACATGACACCTGTAAAAAGAAATGTTTTAGTTAACGGTCTGCATTTACCAAAGTTGCAGCTCCGTGGCCAGCTAATGCCCCTCCAATGACTCCAAGAGGTGAAGATGCAGCAGCAAGAGCTGAAAGTAGATAGTGTACTTGAAGTTAATAATCAAGTCTAGGACTCGTAGATAAATTCATCCAACAGAGATTGAAATTCATTCAAAAATATTTTCTTATTCAGCTTCCGTAATGTTTTCAGATTGCATAATGTCTGGCTGTTTCGAAAAGAATAGACTCTTGTACAAGTTGATTTATAAGATGAACAAATGGTAAAAACATAAGTTTCTGCATCAAACTTTGTATTACTAACCTATTGTAGAAAAAAATGATTTGTCACCCCATTCAGCAACAAATACCAATGCGAATGTACTAACTATGGTGCTTGCAGCAGACAATAGTCCAGCACCATTTCCCGAAAATTCTGAAACAGCCAGCTCGGCCTGGTGTCAAAGCAAAGAGATCCGCAATTAGGATATGCTCATTTGCTGATGCCCCAAACGTATCAACTTTCAATAGACGTCTGATAATGAAACGTTAGTAGGGGAATCTAAGTAGCTTAGTTGGTTAACTACCTAAACTTTTACCTTGTTTATGAGGGTTCTTCCCACCTTTTAATTCCCTCCCGTATTCCCCGTACCCTAACCCCATTTTTTTTGCAGTAATTCTACTTGTCATCTCGAAAAAAAGAAAAATACTTAATAGTAGAAGGGATGCTGATAGGCTTACCTCTTTCTGTTCCTCTTCCGCTTTCATACCATCGCTAGAGGAGGCATCAAGCAAGGTTGACACTCCAAAATACACCTGTGACAAAATTGAATATATCCAGACATGTCAACTTCACATGACACGTGGGTGCAAGTCATATCATGAATTAAATATTAGGATCATGTGTTACCAGAAGGCAAACGGCAGCAATATCATCCACTGGCAAATCATTTCCACCTAACCTGCATTTACGAAGCTGCATCAGGATATAACAGATGAACCGCTCGTGATATATCTGTTATTTAAAGAATTGGAAGATGCTATTGAAGTCAATTTGATAAAATGAAGTGATCCATCTAAATTACCATGCAGGTTACTACACTTCCCAATGTAAAGAAAAATGATCAAGATCACAGCTACGTGTTTTTTTTTCCTTACTCCAAGAGTGACAGACGAAAAGATGGTTTGTAGATTGAGATAAAGAGCAGGAGATTTTTAACATGTAAGAAGTTAATACACCAGGAAACATATTAATTCGGATAAAAATTAAAGAAGGGCAAACATATTCTCGCACAGAAATGTGGGAACCAGGTCAGTGGATGAAACCCAAGACAAGCAATTTGAACATAATTTACAGCAACCATCATGAGCCTTTAACACATCATTTCACATTCTATATTTACAATATTGATATATACTAGTTTTGGTACATATTACCCAACTTCTGAAATAATTTGTAATATCCTGTTTGCTCAAATTTCTAATCGAAACAACAATAACAATATTTTAAGGTTAGAGAGTTTGTAGGCGCATTAACCCAGAAAAACATGGCAAATTAAATTGCATTTAGAAGAACTAGTTAAATGATCCGAAGCACACTACAAAATTATAGTAAAGAGTAGAGCATGTTAGGCTCTTCGATTTTCTGAAAAGTAAGATCTAAGAAATGAAATGGACGTGATGTAGGAATATTAGATAGGATCCTCCTTCTATGAATTGTTGGAAATAATTTTTTACAATCTGCTTTTTTAGTAGACGGAGTTTCTACATACTTGAGATGCATAATTATGCCAAAACTAAAAAGGTTAAAGAACCTGAAAGGAAGAACATCATCGACATAGTGGAAAGTTCGTCCGAGAACAACGGATATGATTGTCATTACCCTGCAAATGACACAGATAGAATTAACATAAAGAGAACAAATTTCTGAATAAAACATCTTCCACGATATTTGAAAAGTTGCATTGACCTTATTGAGTTCTTCAATCTCTTAATTTTAACACGAGAACCAAATGTTATAAGAACTAGTCAGGAATATATGTTAGCTCTTGAAAAGGAAACATTGTGTTCACGTGTATCAGATACAGAAGTTCAGAGGACATAGTGAATATTGAATGCTGAAAGATAACATACCCAAGTGCGCCAAAAGTCCCAAGGAAAGTGACAACGGCTGAATTCCTAGCTGCTAAAAGAGCCTGCTCATATCAAATGAGAATCCAAATTAGTTATGGAAGTATAATGAGTACTTATAAGAAAGAAAAGTTTCTGTTGACCAAATGGTAACATAACAAATTAGACGGAGTTTCTCTTCGATGAGGCACATGAAAGAATCATTTCTATCATCATTTCATTCAGACAGTAATGTATCATCTTTATATAGCTTTTAAATGATAAATCCCCTTACAGCAATAAAGAAGGTTTTGTCCCCAAGCTCAGAAAAGAATATCAACAAGAACGCCTGCGAAAAATGAAGGAAAAGGAGGTTTAATTACTCTCTGGTGAAACACTTATCCTTCACAATCTCAAATAAAGTATAGTATGAGGAGAAAAAAAAAACAATACAGATGAAAATTTGTGCTATGTGTTCCTTGAAGGAGAGTAAAGCAAGATACAAATGTCGGCAGATGATGCATGAAATGATTGCCATGTACTAGCTAAAAGTACTGAGCTATTATCCTTGGCATTGTAATTTTGTTTTTTCTATTATTTTCTTTTTCAGACAAGGCAAAACAACAGAGAGATTTTTTAGAAATGGAAGCTGCTGAGAGATTTTCCTAACTGAAGCAAAACCTGTGCTTAAATCTCCGAGGTCCCCGAAGAAAGGAAACGACTGCAAACCAGTAGCAACCTCTGAAGCAGCACTTGCTTGTTGAGTGAACAAAAGAGTGAAAAGCCCAGAAAGGACAATGGATTTCAGATAATTGTTCTCTGGCATGTCTAACACTTGAAGAACAGAAGTGCTTTGATTTTTCCTCTTCGACAATGCTGTTTTGTTTGTTATACTGCATTCTTCGTCACAATAAGCCGACCTTGTCATGTGGCATCTTTTGTAATTCCTAGTCCTGACCACCTGAGAGAATCCAGAATGTGGGATCATATATATTCACAGTGAGACTTAAAGCTTTAAGTTCGAGATAATCAAATGACCAATGCATAAAAAAGCTCTCTTATACTACAAGAATAAACTGAGTATTCGCAAGGAGCTAGTAGAAAGGATCTGATTTATAACTCACTGAATTTGATACAAATATGATTGTTAAAGTAGTAGGGGCATTAAATTTGGTCTAAAAACCATGAGTTAATAGGAAGAAGCAGAATTTGGCTTATGAAATGCTTTCCAGGAATAATTTATGTACTTAGTATATCACAATTCTTGTCGAAAAGCTTACATTATTTTTTTTTCACCCCTTACTCCGAAAAAATTCACTTAACAAACATTTTTTTTTTACAGAATGAAGTACAAACAATTCAAATTGAAGAAAAGCAAAAACCTTGGGGAAGTCCTCAGACCATCCATGTTGTTTGCAAAGAGAATGCCGCCTAGAAAACCTGCAGACAACACAATCAGGAAAAAGAACAACATCATCATCTACCACTATTACTACACCTCAGTCGCAAACATATATGAGTCGAATATATGAATCCTCATTTCTTCATTCAAGTTCAATTGATCATGTCATCATTGTACTATACTCCTTCTCTCAATTTATACGACTTACTTTCTTTTTTAGTAACAATTTAACTTTAAAGTATCCATTTTTACCCCGAGTGAAATGGCTTATAGCCACATAAATATCTATGACTTATTTTAGAACACAAGTATCAAAAACATTTTTGTTCTTAAACTCCGTATCAAGTCAACAAACTCATATGAATTGGAATGGACAATGGAGGGTCAGTGAGTATAGCAAATAAAACAAACATGGTGAATCTTTATTTTCACAATTCCAGAACCTGAAATGTTGAGTACCTAAAATTTAAGATGAGGTGGATTTGCACAATTCTACATGTTCAACTGAGAGCATTTACATGAAAAAAATATTGAAATTCCGAACCCATAAAGTTTAAAACTTGGATTTACATATCATGTATCCAGATGTTGTACTAGTATTTACATTATCAAAAAATGTGTGGACTACATTCTACCAGCTAACAACAAATAAGAAGAAGATAAAAAAAACAACCCCAGATGATAAAAAAGCAAACTTTAGGTGAAATTGAAACAGTTGATGCTCAAGAAAAGAGTAAAGAAACAATTTTTTTACCTGGAGATTGCAGTTAGAGAGGGATTAACAGGGGAAAAATTAGATAAAGCAAAAGAGGGTTTAAACAGAAAGCTGCTGCTCTCACAAGAGAGCACTAGGCTTCGCATTCTTGAAATTTTAGGAGCAGAAAAAATTGATCTTTGAGAAAGATAAGAGAAGAAGAAAGAAGAGTGGACAGTCACAGAACAAAATCACAATTCTGGATAAGCTAAGCTCATCAAAAAGGCACGCCAGTTAAACCGTTGCATATAATATCTTTGTTTTTTTAGTCACCGATTTCTATATTGAAATCTGATTAAATTAAAATTTATACAGCAGACCCACCCTTAACCGAGGGCGTCAAGCGATAATTTAGTTTGTAAATATATACATATAAATATTGAAATCTCTTGACACAAGTGAAAGGTTTAACTTAGTGATTAAGGGATTGAAAAAATTCTGAATTATTTAATCTCTACTAGCTCTCGATATCTTTTTCTTTGCTCTCCTTAGGAGGGCCCACCCCTTTTGCTCCAGTTGGTAACTCAAACTCGCAACCTTCGAATTGAAAGTAAGGAATGCTTACTATTCGAGCAACTCCCTCTGATCATACTCAAAACAGCTTAGTGTTAGCACATATTTTTCCTTTTATTTGTAACTTTGACTAAATATTTGAGAAACTATGGGCCAGCCATTAGTTGAGTTTTAAGAGATTGGGAATTGGGCTTCAATGTAAGCCTATTGATGTATTAGGTAGGCAAAGTACAAATTAATTAATTGGCTCCCAAAGATTTCATATATTATATGCACTCTAAAAACTTATTATAAATTGAAACCTCCATAAAGAAAATAAACTGAAGGATGAAACAAAATCAATAACCACACAAATTAAAAAAAACAACAACAAAGAGAAGTCAAGAAAATCAACATGAAAAGGCCAATCAGGCCAAAAAGAAGGACAGTCCAATGCACTAAGCTTTCGCTATATTCAGGTATCCAGAGAAGAGTTGCATCACAGTAATTTCCAACACTCGTATAACTTAACATGAACGCGAAGTCGAAAATAGACACTTCCTTCAAATGCATCAGTACTCAATGTTGCAATTCCTCTGGTCATGAAAAAATCACCAGTACCACCAATTACTGAAATATCCCTAGTCTTATTCATCAATGGATCATGTCCAGCAAAATTTAAACTCCCTTTATAATCAGTATTATTAAACACAAATGAAAAACCAAGCCAAGAACTAAAAGTATCTTTTTGATCATAAAAATACATCCCTTGTGCCCTTCCAATTGGTGGTGAATGTAAATTATTATCAAGGGTAATAGGGTCATCAAATACAATCATGTCCCCAAAGTTGTTAGGGCTTGACATTATGGTCCTATTGCCCCATTCAGGCGCACCGACTATAGCTGAAGTCGCGTTTTTATAATTTTCACCATTATAAACTATGTCGTGAAAGAAAAATATCATTTCTTTACAAGGAGCACGAGCGCGATGAGTGTAGCTATGAGCAGAAATGGAGAGAAGAAGAAATGGAAAGAATAAAATTGTGAATAATGACTTAAGGGAATACATTTTGTGTATTTCAAGTGATGGGATGGATTGGTTACATTGTCACTTTATATAGTAGTACTATTTTTTTATTTTTTTTTGATGAAGAATTAAAATAATAAGTACCTAAATATTAGCTAGGATAGTGATGTATCATCATAAATCTATTGGATTAATTAATTAACGACGTATATTTAATTAGTTCTAATATTTGAGTTTTGTATTCATTTGTTGAACCTACCTTCAGCTAACACATGTTTAGTTAAAATTTAATAACTATAGTGGATATAAACAATAGGTTTAATTATATGACAATGACTCATGTTATTATGTATCATGTGGAAGAAGAATCTACCAAACTCAAGATTCTTTGGTCACAACTTACCGCTCTTTCATTTAACGATGAAAGTAGAAGTTCAGATATGAATTTAATTAATTAATTTTAATATTTTTTTATATATAAATAATGTATATATTTTAAGAAATTTATACATGTTAAGTTTAGATATAATATGTGTATTTTTTAATATTTTTAAATTCATAAAAAGTTAAAATTCAGATCCTTCTAATTCATTAGATTGATTAGGAGAAGAAATTACTATAACTAATTAATTAAATTAGATTCCCTAATTATTAACTCAATAAAAAAATAGTTGACCAGACAGTAGGAACAAAAAAGTCTATAATGAAAACGTTAAAAACTACTGATATAATTATATAAAATACCAACCTTTTTTTCTGAAAGATTCGACCTACGTAATCTAGGTTTATTTTTCTGATTAACCAACAATGTTGAACTAAAAACTAATGACTATAATAAATGATAATATATTCAGTGAGATTTGGAAAGAATACAAAAAATTTATTCAGTATATTTTTGAAAGATGGTCGACATTAATAACTAAATATAGTGAGTAATTATATCAATTTAAATAATATTCATATAAATAAAAATCGTTGAAAGGCTGAAATATAATTAGATAAATCACAATGTATACCAACTAGGAAGGATATGACTTATTTTATTACACCAAAAGTCTAAGCTTGGATGAGGTAAAAAAAAATCCAAAAAGATATGAAGCGTTAAAATTGAACAATACTTACCTAAGTTTATAATTATTCTGAGAAATTCGATAGAATGATTTAGATTCTTTCGCTCTTAATTAAAAATATGAGATTTTATCTAAAAAGAACATCATCGATAAGAATCACACTCCCCTTCAATGAAACTTATTCTATAAAAATATAATCTGATCAATTAGTCAGATCGATAAACTTCATATCTAAATAAAATATCATATATTAGATAGAATTCTTCAAATCTTTAATCAACAATATACGCTTCTACAAAAGGAAAGAAACAGTCAATAAACCCCTCCTCCTTCCCACCACCACACAATTTCACACCAAAAAAATAAATACTATCTAAAATTATTATCAATAACAATAACAACAACAACAACAATAATAATATCTAAAATTATTATAGCGTTGTACAATTTATTATCAATGCGTAATTAAAAATAATCTCCAAACTGCCAATCAAACAATAAATTCAGATGCAAAATGATTATATCAATATAAAACTTCATATATTAGATAGGATTCCTTAAATCTTAAACCAACAATATATAACACAAAAAAAAAAAACAATCAATCAATCAACAAAGCCCTCCTCCTCCCACCACATACATTCATAAAAAATAATGAATATTACAATAACAATAACGACAATAATAATAACGTATCTTTTAAAATTATTACCACAATAACACACTTATACTCCTTATGAGTACACGTAATTTATATCAGTTTCTCAAAATAGATATACATATATATATATAATTTCTTTCTAAAATTAACGAGTGCACGTACATGCGAACCCTACCCTATGGGGTGGTCAGCCTCTGGTCCAAGCTATGACGTAAAAACTAAGACAAATTAAAACGTATAGATATTGTTCTTTTCCCTATCTTCAAGTCTAAGTCAGTAGAATCTTTTCTTGGTAGGTAATAACTAACATATATATATATATATATATATATATATATATATATATATTCAGAATTTGAACTTAGTAAAATTTTATGGATGAGCCGGGATTGACTTTTTTTAATGTCTTTTGAGTCGAGCTTGTTATATAGGGGTTTGTCTAGTGCGGTTTCCACTTAGTGTTCACCTGGAGAATAAGATTGTGATAGAGATTACAGTGATTACAAATTATCGAATTTATGTGACATCATAGATTACTCTTAAAGGTGATAAATTAGCTCATGAAAAAAAATCGTTCGTTTATTAATCCCAAAAAAATTCAAACTATCAGTTTATAAAGAAGTAGATTGTGATGTAAGACAGATCCACTCATGAAAAATTTAGTCAAAATATTTAGAGAAGACATTTTTTGTACGTTAGGGATATCCTAGATTTTCAAATTAATTTATAGTTAATATTGCGTATACAAACTATTCTCTGAATATAACTGCATACTTGCTTTCTTCTGAATATATATATATATACATATAGAAGTAAAAAAATAATAAGTGAACAAATATGTGTAGACATAATAATAGTATCATTTGTTTGGTTGTTGATGTCTAAAGTCTAACATCCATCAATTTTCATTTTCTTTCACTGTTTTATTTGAAATGAAGATAAAAAAATCGAGTTTAAGTTCATGCATCAATAATCAAAATTGCATTTCTTTCTAATAAATATTTGGGCCTATTTGATTCTATAAAAAGAGCATCAATAATCAAATGATGTACTAAATATTTACTTTATTTTAATTTATTACATGGCATCATTTAAATAATCAAAGTCATTGTGAATACATGAAATTAGGGTTGTGTATTGACCGGTTCGGTTTGATTTTGAATTTTATCGGGTTGACTTATTGATTATCAGTTTGTAGTGATGCTAACCATTATAAAACCATTAAGATATTGGCTTATCGGTTATTGGTTTATCGATTTTTGATTGTTATCGGTGACCCAAAAGAAAAAATATTAAAAATCACTTAGAAACAAGGTGACAAACCAAATAAACCATGCACTTGAGTTCACAAGTTACATCTTGCTCAAAAACAAACACTTTTACATTGTAGAATAATCAAGTGTTTGAGACAACAAAAAATAAAAGTAGGAAATATATACAAAATGGTATAAATTTAAATATTTAATTTACTATCAGATTATCGGTTAAATCCGTTAAGAAAAAAACTTTAAACCGTTAAGAACCGATAATCCGTTAACAAAAATATCAAAACCACTAAACCAATAACTCAAGACTATAAACCAATAACTTTTTCATCGCTTCGACTTATCGGTTTCAATTCGATTTTAAACAGCCTTACATGAAATCTTCATATACAAAATATAACCTAATGAACCAGCCAATCAATCAATAAATTTCATATACAAAATAATTATATTAAATAAAACCTTCATATAGTAGATAAGATTCTTCGAATTTTTAATCAACAATATATAGTTCAAGAAGAAAAAAAACAATCAATGAACCCCTCCGCCTTCCCATAACAACAACAACATTACTTGTAAATTAATATTGACGCGTAATAAAAAATAAACTTCACCCTTCAATGAAATTTATGTTGTGATATGTGTGAATCAAACGACTAGTCTGACGATAAATTTCAGATACCAAATGATTTTATCAAAAATAAAACTTCATATATTAGATAGGATTCTTCGAATCTTTAACCAATAATACATCTTTCAACACACACACAAAAAAAAATATAACAACAACAAAAATAACGTAATGTCTAAAATTATTACCAGCACTCGTAAAGTTTAATATCGACTTGTAATCGAAAATAAACTTCACCTTCAACGGAATCAGTCATGAGAGTAGCAATTCCTCTAGTCATGAAGAAATCACCAGTTCCACCAATAACAGAAATATCTCTAGTTTTATTCATAATTGGATCAGCTCCAGCAAAATTAATACTCCCTTTATGTTGAGTTGAATTAAAAACAAATGAAAACCCTAACCATGAAGTAAATATTTCTTTTTTATCATAAAAATAAAAACCTTGTGCTCTACCAATTGGATTTGAATGAATATTATTATCCAAAGTAATTGGATCATCAAATACAATTAAATCTCCAAAATGATTTTGTCCAGCCAATTTTGTAAGATTTCCCCATGATGGAGCTCCAACAATAGCTGATGTTGCATTTTTGCCATTTTCACCATTGTATAATATGTCATGGAAGTAAAAAATTAGGGTTTTACAAGGTCGATGTGCGCGAATTTTATTCGATGATTCAACTATAGACAAGTTTATTATAAGGACAAGGAAAAATGAAATAGCTATGGAATTTGATATTTTGGATGACATTTTGTTATTGTTTTGGTGTGAATTGTTTTTTTAATCTCAACTCTTTATATAGTTTTTTTTTTTGTTATTTCTTGGTGATAGTGATACTTGAACCAATTTTTTTTAAAAACTTCGCTTTTAATTATAAGGGTAGAGAATGTGACAGAGAATGTAGGGATAATATAAATATCTTTTAAATTATTATGATAAACGATTACACTCAGATCTTTTCTATCAATGATATAACATTTTGCTATACCAATTAAAAAAATATTTATATGAATAATGTCTGTTATTGAGAGATTTGATTGTGTTGTTATAGAGAAATGCATAGAGGATCTACAAGAATCTAATTTCATCCTTTTTTTAAATTCTTTTTTGTTCTTAATTCTAACTGTTCTCTGAATATAACTGCATATTTAATTTGATTTTCTGATATATACATATAATTATAATTTATTTAAGTTGCACGCTTTGTTAAAAAACAGTAATTTTTGTTTGGTTATGATGTCTAAAGTCTAACATACATCAATTTTTATTCACTGTTTGATTTGAAATTAAAAAAATATTCTAGTTTAAGTTCATGCATCAATAATAATCAAATGATGTATTAAATATTTACTTTATTTTAATTTATTTGACATCGTAGAATATTTAGAGTCACAATTTTTAAAATTTTGATTGGAATTTAGGCATGAAATTATTATTTTAAAAGAAAAATAGAATTTACATATTTAAAAAAAATTGCATGAGATGTACTATAAGTCACAATTATTAATAATTTAAAATATTTTTAAAACTTAGGAAAAATATTTAGGTCAAAGTGAAACTCGTTTAGACTGTTGAAACTCGTTTAGACTCATGAAATTCAAAAGAAAAAAAATCTCTAATGGACTGATAATATAAAAAAAATTCTTTATATCATCAATGTATAAAATCATATTCTAATAGTATCAATTATGGGGTCATAACCTAATTATAAAAACTATTTCCTTCGTTTTTATTTGTCATGATTTTCTTTTATAGAGTTAAACAATAAAAACTTTGATTAATATTTTATGATGTATTTTTAATCATATTGATATGCAAAAAAATTGCAATTTATAGTACTCTTTGTATAGTTTTTGAATATCTAAATTTTTTATTTAAATTATCAAATAAATATAATTTAATTTAACTTTAAAAATTAATCAAATTAACTTTTAAAAAATATAATATAACAAATAAAAGTGTATAGAGAAAGTATAATTAGGTGAGCCCGCCAACTTGTGTTTTGTCAATTTCACCAACCATTTCTCCTAGAGTTAATTGAAGATATTTTTGGGAAAAAAAAACAAAAATTAACTTAAATTTTATAATTTAAGGATATTATTTTATCAAACTCATTAGCGATAGAAGCAGTTTTGGACCAAATTATCAGTAATAACAATATTTTAAAATTAATCAAATTATTAACTGAAAGTATTTTATTCGTTTTCACACCGTTTTAGAGACATTTTTTTTAAAAAAAAAATCTTTTTTCGATTATTAAATAATGAATTAACCTCAAAATTTGTGGGCAACTTAAAGAACCTAAAGGATGATTCAATGCTTGGAAATTAGACATACATTGTAACAATTAGATAATGATTAATATTTGTGTATTTATTCTTATTAAAAAAGTAGCATACTTTTCTGTTGAAATATGCACATTCACATATTTAGATGATTATTCGGATTCTAAATTATAAGGGTATTTTTTATATTTTATTTTTAAAATCTTGTGAAATAAGTCTTTTTTTTAGATGTTTATTCAGATTCTAAATAATAAGGGCATTTTTAATATTTCACTTTTAAAATTCTGTGAAATAAGTCTTTTTTTAATTGACTCGACGTAGAAAGTTGCCTTAATTTAATATCACATTTTTCTGCTTTTAATTATTACAGACATTCTTAATCAAATATTACGATTAAAGACCAAACTTAGAATTTATCAATAATCGAGGGATCAAAATTACGATTATCCTCGTAACAATTATATCCCAAGAAGTTATAATATTCTTAATAAAATCTATCTAATAGCATTCATACAACTTAATATCCATTTTAAGACGAAAATACCCCAATCCTTCAACAGCATCAGTACTAAATGTTACAACACCTCTAGCCATAAAAAAATTTCCTGTCCCTCCAACAATACTAAGATCTCTAGTTTTTTGATCAATAATATCTGCCCCCATAATATTTAATGTACCATAATATTCACTTGAATTAAAAACCAAAGTATATGCAAACCATGCATTATACTTACTTTTCATGTTATATAAATAAAATCATTGTGCTCGCGCAATAGGTGTTGACATCAAATTTTGATCTATTGTTATTGGATCGTCGAAAACTACTAACATACCAAAATTGAAATCTCCTAGGACGTTATTAAGAGGGTTTGTGACATTTGCAGATGTAGCGTTTGAAGCATTTGTTACGTTGAAAAGGATGTCGTGGTAATAAAGAACGAGTCGTTTACAGGGTTTTTTAGGGTTTAGGGTTTTAGAATTGGCTACGAGAAAAAAAGAAGTGAGTATGATAATAAAAAGGATGTTGAAATAATAATATGATTTCTTCATGGTTTAATTGTTTGAGAGATTTGAGTGATTTTGTTCAAGTTTATATAGTGGAAATTAAAAGATTATGATGTTGTTATATTTAGTGATATCAAGAATATACTTTAGTAGCTTAGTTCAATTTTTGGAGATAACTTTATTTGTTTGTTTCAATGGAAACCAAATTAGATTTTTATTTTTTTTTGAATTTTCCACTCAATATTCGGTACATCTAACTAAATTTGGATTTACACTAAAAAGTTTTAGTATTTTTTAACAAAAACGGTTTAGTACTCACGAGAACTCAAGCTTGAAATCTTTGATTAAAAATGAAAAAATACTTAATTATCACTCTACCGCAACTCTAGTTAGTGTAAGACAAATTGGTTAAGTTAGCAAGAACACTTCTTTTAGATAAATAATATGTCTAGTAAATTAATAATCCGACTTGTTTTATTTAGTGTTTTCATACATGAAAATCATATAATTATAGTAATAAAATCTGAAGTCTTTCAACAAATAAGACAAAGCTGCAGGGCTGATTATTTTATAAAAATGAGGGTGTTTATTACCTAACACATTACGTATTTGGTGTTGAAGTTGTACAATAAATTGGACCAACAAGTGAAACAAAGTTGGGCCTAGCTCATCAGATTGTCACCATCAAAATTGAACATTAGAATGCGAAAAAATCTCAAGTGAAAGATTGAATTTCAATTGCCTTACAAGTGACATGATCGTATAAATATTAGTCGGTACATAAAACTTAAACTCATTATACGTTACAGATATCATCTATCACACTCTGTATTGCCACAGCAAAATCCAACTGTAATTCAACAACAAAGACAAACACTGATAATTCTTAAGGCAACAAAGTTGAAACTCATAAAGGAACACTAAGTATTACTGCAAAGAAACAGTTTTATGTCTTACAATAACAGAACAAATGTCATGTATAATAAGCCCCGAGTAACTAGCATTGTACTGTACATTGAGTACTTAAAAAACCTTGATGAATTGCTAATCAAAAACGACGTTTATTCTGAATCACAATCGCCGTCTGATGACTCTCCTTCCTTCAAAGAACTCAGAGATTCTTCAGGTAACTGGCTGCGGTACTGCTGCACCACCAACACTGATGCAGTAGTCGAAAACTCTGGTGATGTCAATAAGTTCCCCAATGATCCTAACTCAGGGCAGTCACTCTTTTTGTCCAATGCTACGACTACTTGTCCCTCGGGCATTCTGCCAACCAGATACAGATTGCAACGATTGTACTCACGAATGGCTTCTATAGTCCCACGAGCATCTTTCACGATCCTCTCCTCAAATTTGATCGATCCATCTGTTGAGGATTTTTGCTTCACATCAGCAAGGAACTCTTCATCATCAGATTGAGCCTCGGGGTTAGTTTTGTCATTCATTTCTACCTTGACACTTGTCCCCGATATCTCAGGGTCTACTATGAATCGAACCACAATCAAACTAATGCCAGGGTGTTCAGCGATACGTACACCATAAGCAAGTGCTTCGCGATCATCATGGCCACCAAAGAACAAGGCAGTCACTGAGAAGTCGACGTTACTTGAAGATACATGAGAAGCTCCACCGAGACCACGGTCTACTAATATGCCAACTGAACATGGTGCATGCTGAAGAACTCTTCTGTTCACATGCCTAAGTTCGCCTCGGGTTGTTTCCAAATGACCATCGAGTCTCGGGTGCTTATGGAATGGAAGGATTATCATTGCAACCCTTTTTCTCTCTGCACTAGCGACTATGTCCTCGTGCATGCTGTTCATAGGAGAGATTGCAGTAGTTGGTCGAATAGACACCTTACTCAGATTTGAGAATGTATCAAAAGCTACAACAATTTGATTCGAGTCTTGCACCTGTTCGGTGTTCCAAAAGGGCAGTCCGTTCTTTTTAGCCTTGTGGACCATCAGAATTGCAGAGGATCTTTCTGAAAGCTCCATGAGGTGCATTGCATATACACGAAGCCCTTCCCTCTTCTCAATACCCCGAGAAACCTCAATGAGATTGAGCATTGCAGGAATGTTCCTAGAGCTGTGGAAGCAGGCCAAGATCCGGAGCTGTTTACTCGTGTTTTTCCTCTGTATAGTTCTGTGTTTGTATTTAGTCACAGCTAGTTTTGCTGGCTTATATACTGATATCACTATAGGTGTTGTGATGAACGTCGTGAAGAGAGCCATCAACACCATGATGGCAAATGTTTGATCATTAAGTACCTGTGAAACCGAACATCAGTCAAAAATCAATGTTACACAGCTAAAAGTAGTAAATCGAAAATTAAGTTTAATGAAGCTGAACTTACTCCTCTATCTTTGCCAATGTTGAGAACAATGAGCTCCACCAAACCTTTAGTGTTCATCAAGAAACCGAGAGTTACAGCCTCTTGGGTGGGCAATTTGCACAGTAGTGACACCACAATAGTGCCAACAATTTTTCCA